TTCTGAAAGAATCCCATATGTAGTAATCTGAACATGAAAACCATCAGGGTTATGCTGTACATGATTCTAGCTATCATAAACTGAGATCCATCCAATGAGAAGCGTAGAGTTATTGAGATGCTATATAACAATATCATGGCCAGATCAAATCTATTCCAAACATCATCAAACCAGCTACGAATCTTGAAGCGTAGTGACTTGGCTTCTCGAACCAAAATCTGAAATAATATTAACACACACAGTATGAGTTATATAATGCACCAAACTGATTTTATTTTAGGCTTTTAAAAAAGTCACAAATAAAACCCACATATAACCCTTTTTTTTCATAATTTTGATCAAGATCTTTAGCCAATAGAAATTTATGTCCATTTGGTAAAAAAATTATAGAAATAATATAGAAAAATAGTTACAAATAGGTAAAATGTTGCATCAAAGTTTTGGCAGAAAAAAATATGAATTTTGAAGATTTTGATTTACAATATCCATAAAAAAATATACAAAAATACATTGGGGCTACTTTGTGGGAACTCACTCAATTTTACTGAAGTAGAGAAATGGTTGTAGGCTAACTTTAACGTGAAAAGAGGTGTAAAGAAGTTCAATCTACAATTAATGAATACTACGTACTGACCTGTCTGCCTTCTTCTAAAGCAAGACTAGCAACCCATATCATCGTCAACCACTCCCATTTACCTGGTGATGCAGGCTGACTAGCAGGTCGTAAATCAGTTAATGTGAAAAAACTAAACATCACCAGGAACATCACATACACTAGCTGTAATGCCAGATGAAACACACAAATATTATAAACAAGTTAGTGTCAATCATAAACAATAAAAGATATCATGTCTGAGAAACAGTTGATAATATGTTCGAATTTTTTTTTTATTTTTGACAAGACATGTTCAAGAAGGATGTATGGACAAATGAAGTAATAAAAGTCTGATGGGACTAATCATAATGATGAAAAGACAGGAAAAAATGAATGGATCCTGTAACATACAGTAGTGTTAATGACCAAGTGATTATGCACGTATGATGTATCATTGCAAGGAAAGGATGTATAAAA